GAGAGAGAGATAAGAGGACTTGCTAGACTGGCATTGGATCTGAAACTGCCACTGAAAACAGGAGCGTCTAAGGACATGGCACTAAATTAGTACCGCAAACTTACTGGCACTCGAAATGGAGGGAAGCGACTGTTCTAAATATATTCTCCCTTGATGTGGGATCGATTTCCCTGGTGTTATTAAATTACTATTTAATTCTACTCCCCCCCCCTTCTTCTTATTTTCTTTTATCTATCTTTTTCCTTTCTCTGTTATTTGATTTTGCCTTTTTTTTTCCCGTAATAAGTCTTTCTACTTACCCCTCTCCCCTTATTATTTTTATTTTCTTTTTCTATCTTTTTCTTTGTCTTGTTTATTTGATTTGCCTTTTACGTAATAAGTCTTTCTACTTACCCCTCTCCCCTTTATATATATTTTTCTTTTTCTATCTATCTTTTTCTTTGTCTTGTTTCTTTGATTTGCCTTTTACGTAATAAGTCTTTCTACTTACCCCTCTCCCCCTTATTATTTTTATTTTCTTTCTATCTTTTTCTTTGTCTTGTTTCTTTGATTTGCCTTTTACGTAATAAGTCTTTCTACTTACCCCTCTCCCCCTTATTTATTTTTCTTTTTCTATCTACTTTTTCTTTGTCTTGTTTCTTTGATTTGCCTTTTTCCGTAATAAGTTTTCTACTTACCCTCTTCCCCTTATTATATTTTCTTTTTCTATCTATCTTTTCCTTTGTCTTGTTTATTTGATTTGCTTTTTTCGTAAATAAGTCTCTCTATTACCCCTCTCCCCCCCTTATTATTTTCTTTTCTATCTATCGCCTGTTCTTTGTCTTGTATTTGATTTGCCTTTACGTAATAAGTCTTCTACTTACCCCTCTCCCCCTTTTATTTTCTTTTTCTATCTATCTCTTTCTTTGTCTTGTTTATTTGATTTGCCTTTTACGTAATAAGTCTTTCTACTTACCCCTCTCCCCCTTATTATTTTTTATTTTCCTTTTTCTATCTATCTTTTTCTTTGTCTTGTTTCTTTGATTCGCCTTTTTCGTAATAAGTCTTTCTACTTACCCCTCTCCCCCTTATTATTATTATTTTTTTTTTCTATCTATCTTTTTCTTTGTCTTGTTTATTTGATTCACCTTTTTTTTCGTAATAAGTCCCAAGAGTGAACGCATTTTTTCCACCGATAAAATCTCCGTGTTTTATCATTGCATTCCTGGCCGAGTGAACACCACCCGCGAGGTATTGCCAGTGAGAATCGTCCGGACTCGGACCTTTTCGAAACAGTTGGAGCAAAATTGGCGAGTGGTTTGCACGCGGTCTAGGGGGAGGGGGAGAGGAGAGGAGGGAGAGGGAAGAGAGGGGGGGAGAGAGAGAAGAGGGAGAGGAGGGGGAGAGGGAGAGAGGGAGAGAGGGAGAGAGGGGGAGAGAGGGAGGGGGAGGAGGGAGAGAGGGAGAGAGGGAGAGAGGGGAGAAGAGAGAGAGAGAGAAGAGAAGAAGAGGAGAGAGAGAGAGAGAGAGAGAGAGAGAGAGAGAGAGAAAAAGAAAAAACTGAACAAAAGCCAAAAATCGCAAGCGAGTACTGCGATTTGAGTAGCCAAGTCAGGGGGGAGCGGGCAGTTAGGCATGACGAGAGATTGGTTCCTATGTGAGGAAGAGGGAGGACTCGGCTCGCAGCTGTTACGAGAGGAGAGAGAGAGAGAGATGAAGAGAGAGAGAGATACACATCACATACACAGGAAGATACATAGATACATAAGATTAGATAGAGACGGAGACAGAGACAGAGACAGAGACAGAGACAGAGACATAGACAGACAGACATACAAAAGAAAGAAGAGAGAAAGAAAAAGAGAAAGAGATAAGCAAAGAAGAAAAAACAAAAAAAAACAGAATAAAATCAACAATAGATGGAAGCGAAACACAGACTAAGAAAACCTATGAAATGTCAATGATCTGCAGAGGTTTGCGGTTTCGTGTCCGGCTGGAAGTTGTGCGTAAAAAGTAATAAAAAAAAAAAGATAAATATATGTAATGGTTCCTAGGTAATAAGAGATAGATATATAGATGAATTGATAGATAGAGAGATAATAGATAGGAGATAGAGAGTTAGATTAGGATAGAGAGTTAGTAATAGATAAGATAGATATGTAATAGTTAGATAATAGATAAAATAGTTAGATAGATATAAATATATAGATAGTTAGATATATAGATAGATATATAAATAGACAGATAGATACATAGATAGATGAATAGATATATATGTAAATAGATATATGAATATATGGCTAGATAGATAGATAGAAAGATAGGTAGACAGATAGAGAGTCAGATACAGAGATAAATAGACAAACGTACATACGAACAAAAAGATAGAGAAGCAGAGATAATACCAGAAATGTAGTGAGAGATAAACAGACAAAAATGAAAAATATAACAATGAAAGATAACAGAAACAAAAACAACAACGAAAAATAGTAATAAAAACAAAAAATAACGACAAAAAAAAGAAAGAAAAAAAAAGAACATCAACGCAAAATACTATTTGAAAAAAAAATGTAACATCAAAAAAGTGACAAAAATAGTAACGGATAATAGTAAAAAGACAAGAAAACAAAGCAAACAAGCAAACAACGAAAGTACAAGTACACCAGGGCCCCGAAGCCGCCAAAGACTAGTGGTTCCAGTGTGAGTGTAACACTTAATAACACTCATGAAGTTGTTGAGACTAATAAGCTACCGCAGTTCACAATAATTGACAGGAAATGTTTAAAATGTGATAATAAATTCATAGAAATTGAAAAAAAGAGAGAGAGAGGGAGGGAGAGGGGGAGAACAGACAGAAAAAGAGGAAACTACAAATGATAGGTGAAAAATTTTCCACATTGGGGACGGAAAACGGTTGAAAAATAATGAATAATGGATGGTTTTGCGTGGAAATTTGGCAGTTTTTTTTAAGGTCGCGATTTAAGTACTGGCTATTACTGTAGTTTAGCAGTTTCAGCTACTTTTAGACTTGCTGCGCTCGACGTCATAATTCTCACTTCCGGCAAGGGTCCTTCCTGTTCATTTGCATATTGAACTAAAGATTTTATTTTGTATGTGAGATGCTGTGAAATGAGAGCTGTATTTCGATTTTTTTTATTTTATCTTTTTATTTATTATTATTATTATTTTTTAGGAAGTTCATTTTCATTGTTATGAATGGTCGTACATGATAACATCATGCAAGTGACTAAATCAATAGTAGTACTAATCATATAAATTATAATTTAAATATTAAATTGCATGTTTTGAAGGAGAATTCTTTGATGAAAAAGATTACAGAAAATGAGAGAGAGAGGGGGAGAGGGGTGGNCTGCATATCATCTCTCTGTTTTTTGTGTGGTGTGTTGTCTATCCTTTCAGTAGTGCTCAGGTAAATACGTTATGCTAAAACTTCTTGTTTGTGTATTTATTGTTGTATTATGTTTTTTCTCGATCGGTTTGCTCAGCTGGTGTGGTGTTTGTATGTTATGTGGTATTTGGTGTTAATGTAGTTGGTTGCGCGCATGTTTGTGAAAGTTGCCCAACATTCATTTCCTGCTGCGACATTGAAATTGGCAACAGACCTGCTCTCTCGCCGGCATTCAGCATTACCTATTCAGCATTCTTAATAAGGTCCGTGTGGTCTATCGGAACGAAGGAGAATTTAATGCAATAGAGAGTTCTAAATGTTATACAAAGCTTAGGAAAGAATAGTTATAGCATTAATGGATAAAAAATAAACAAATGTGGAGAGATAGTGTTCCAAATTGACCCGCAATAAAGATACAATCATTGAATTATGTTCTTTCGGGTGAGAGGAATAAATAGTCTTTTTTTTCTCGTTTTTATTAAATGCAAAAGGGAAATGGTTTCCATATTCATACATTTTGGCTAATTTCCTTTAAATTTTAGTGCAACAGAAGAATGGTTTCCATCTTTACACATTTTGGTTTATTTCTCGAAAGCATATCATGCAAGGAAATCATTTTCCCAGTCTTACATTCTCAGCATCTCATTTCCATCTTCTGACGCGCTGCTTATCCCATTCTTCCTTTTCTAAGGCCATGAGAATAGTTTATTCTTTCGGCTAAAACTATTTTCATTAATCTTTAATAGGATTCCCGGCCTCGAATGCAAACATTTTCTCTCGTCCGCGGATTACCTTCCTTGTCTGTTATCCTGTTTATATAAATTGTTCCTATTTCTCTTGCAATTCTTGTTTATTCTTGTTCCTCCCTTCTTTTCTTTCTTTTTTCTTTACGAATTTCCTTTTCTGTGACACCTTTTTCTTTTTTTCCTTTTCTTGACCTACTGGTTTCTGTTTTCTCCATCTCCTTCCTCTTTCCTCCTCTTTTTTCTTTCTTACCGTTTCCTCTTAACCAATTTTCTCTATCCCTTTCTTTTCCCCTCCTTTCCTCTCATCCCTTCCCTTCTTACTTCTTCCTATTAGCCCTACACATCTTCCTTCCTTACCTATTCTTCCTTCCCTCCTTTCCAAAGCCTTTCCCTTTTTTTACTAAGCTTCTCCCTTCCCTTCTCCAGTTCCCTTTCCTTCTGCTCTCCCTAATCTTCGTGCCACTCATCTTCTCATCTCCTCCGAGGCATCACGAGCGCCTTATCCAGTTTACTCTCCTCGATCCCTCTTCCCCATCTCCTCCCATCCTTCACCCTACGCCTCCCCCTCCTATTCGCCAACCCTGCCAAGGCATGCAAAGGACTGGGCTTCCGTTTCTTCTCCTTTTCTGTTCCTTCTCTTCTTTTTCGTTACTTTCTCTCCCTTTCTTGACCCCCCCCTCCCCTCCCCTCGACTCTCTCGCTCCCCGCGCCGGCGCCAGTATCACCCCTTTCAGTTCCTGAAGGAGAGACCTCTTCCCGAGCCCCCCCCCCCCTTCTCCCTCCCCTACTCCCATCCCTTCCTTTCCCTTTCCCTTTCCTCATCCTTCCTCCATCCCCTCTTACCCCTTCCCTTCCCCTTCCCCCCCCCTCCCCCCGCCCTCGTCCCGCGGTCCTCATGGGGCGCGGGCCTCTTCCCTGCATCTTATCCAGCACCCTCTGCTTCACCCTCCTGGCGTAGGCTCTCCTGAAGGCGGAGTAGCGCAGGTCCTCGTCCCTCAGCCGGTCTTCCTGGGCGGCCTCCGAGAGCTTGCACCTCCTGATCCCCTCGATTTCCCGCAGAGCAGCGTCGCGCTTCCGCCGCTTCTCCTCCTCGGCCTGCGGGGGGGGGGGGGGTCAGCGGCGGCGGGAAGGGACGAGCCGTTGCGTTGGCGCAGGTGGTTCATGGGGGCGGAAGACGGCAGACGGCAGATGGTGGAAGGTGATGGCAGAGGGTGGTAGTTGGTGATTGAAGGTGGTAAAAATTGGTGAAATTGGTAATTAAAAAAGTGATAATTGGTAATTAAAAAAGTGATGGAGAAAGAAGTTATGACGCCTGCGATGATGAAAATAATAACATACATGAAAATGCAATCATTGCAATAATCACAATACCAATGATAATGATAATAATGATAACAGCAATAACATGGAAAGTAATAATACTAACAATAATGTGGAAAAAATACAGAATACTTTAATGTATTGATGCAGTGGTAGAGGAACTCATAAACAAAATAGATTTCAGAAAACTATTTTATGTATTGTTTTTTTTTCTGATCAAAATGACTACGCTATCAAATCATAATGTATTCATGACATACTAGATTAAGAATTCACATCAATCGCAATAGCAATGATAACGATAATAATAAATATAAACATGATAAAAATAATACATATGATAAAAGTTACAAGAACAACAACAGCAATACTATTACTACTACAATTAATAATGATGATGATAATAATGATAATAATAAGAAGAACATCAACAACAAAATAACAATGATAACAACAACAACAATAAGAACAACAACATAACAGTGATAACAACAACAATAAGAAGAAGAACAACAGCAACAACAACACAACAACAATAAGAAGAAGAACAACAGCAACCACAACAGCAATAATAACAACAACAATGGTAACAACAACAACAACAATAAGAAGAACAACAACAGCAACAATAACAACAACAAAACAATAATGATAACAACAACAACAACAATGATAATATTAATAAGAAGAAGAAGAACAAAAACAACAGCAACAATAACAACAACAATAAGAACAACAACAACAACAGCAACAACAACAATAATAATAATGATGATGAT